TTTCTAACGCGTTGGATTGGTTGGAAGAAAATTTCCGACGAATCCAACGCGTCAAAAATTCTATTCCCTATTCCTATTGCCTGTTGTATTGACATTGTGTGATAGGCTTTAAAGACATCGAAAATCGGGACATAAGACGTCTTTCTGACAACTTCATAAGACGTCTTAGAACTATTTAAGACGTTCTAGAACTATTTAAGACGTCTTTAAGACGTCTTTTAGATGTCATAATGTTTTCTGGGTAGTTATTATAGTACTAACAATGTAATATGCGACTTAGTGTTGTCGTGACTAAATATTTCTGTGGCAATTTTATTGATGATAATTATTAATTTTATTTATTTAATAAGAGAATACGGCTCTGAAGAATCAAAATCAATGAGTAAAAGGGGCTAAGAGCCTTGACTAGGTGTCAGTATCAAAAAAGTAAAAATTTAGTTTATTAAAACATAAAAATTATAGACGTTTCGGTCTTTCTTTAGACCATCCTCGGTGTATAAAAAGAAAAAAAAAGAGAAGAAGCAAGTAATTTAAATATAAAAGTCAATGGTTAAAATTCGCTCGCAACGCAATACATAAGAAAGTTGTAAAATGTAAACCGTGTTCGGATTTATTACGACTGCCAATTGAGAGGTCATCGTTTCGTCGAGATATAAGTTTTGGTGTTATCAAGGTGGTGAATGTCGAATTATTTACCAGGTTGATAACACCAAAACTTATATCTCGACGAAACGATGACCTCTCAATTGGCAGTCGTAATAAATCCGAACACGGCTTACATTTTACATCTTTCTTATGTATTGCGTTGCGAGCGAATTTTAACCATTGACTTTTATATTTAAATTATTTGCTTTTTCTCTTTTTCTTTTCTTTTTATACACTGAGGATGGTCTAAAGAAAGACCGAAACGTCTGTAATTTTCATGTTTTAATAAACTAAATTTTTACTTTTTTGACACACTAACACCTAGTCAAGGCTCGTAGCCCCTTTTACTCATTAATTTTTATTTATTTAAGTTTTATTAAGATTTTAACCGTGGAAATGTATTTATACATTACTGTGTACCGTATGTATAGAAAATTTATACAATTTTTTTCGCCAATTTAATGTATGATAATGCATTGTAGATAATGTATACAGATTAAGATATTCATATGTATATTCTTCCTGTCTTTCATTATAGTTTAAAAGAGGTGCTAACCGTTCTCCTTGCAACTTTCATCACAGCATGGATAAAATAATATGGACAGACTTTTGCTGGGCAAGGTAAGAATATTGACAAAAAGTGTAAAAGATTAATAAAAGAAATTCGCATTTTATGTTGTTGAAAGAATTGTACAAAAAATTCATAATTAATAATACTACTACTACTTTACCGAATGAAATTGAAACATTCTTTCTTCTTCATTTTGTCGTTTGCGTCGATACCATTGCGTACATCGAGGAATATTCTTGTTTAAAAACAAATAGCGCTTGTAACGTCCCATTAGAAATTTTTTACACTTTTATTATTTTATTATTTTAATTTACGCGATAGTTATAGAATGTATAAGGAAATATCCGTATTTTTGTTTCACTTTACTTGAATTACTGTCAACAGTATCACATTTACTTAAGTTCTATGCGTAAATTTATTGAAGCATGTAATTAATTAGATAAAGTAATATTATAGTCTTGGAATCGTCAAAGGCAATGAAACGAACATAATATGTTAAAAAATAAACAGTTTTATTTTCTAATTAAAAACAAACGATGTAAGGTTACGACAACGATGCTAGAAACTTGCCTAATAGCATATAGAAGGGGCAACTCTCGCACGCAAGCTACATGCAGTGATGCAAACTTTGGGTTCCAAGCACCATGAAAGTGTTACACTCGGTGCTCACTCACACAAGCGCAACCGTGTCCGTGTGCTGCGCAGAGTCTCTGCGCTTGTGTGAGTGAGCACCGAGTGTAACATTTTCATGGTGCTCGGAACCCAAAGTTTGCATCACAGGCTACATGCCGTGTGAGTATACGCTTGGGACATGGTGCTCGTTACTCGTGTATTATCTTCTAAGGTGATATTCTCTTCTAAGGTGCGTTCCGTTTCACGCAAGATGCGCATAATGCATCATTTATCCTTATTTAACATTCGGTAAAGAACAAGGATAAATGATGCGTTATGCGCATCATGCGTGAAACTAGTTGGGACTAGTTTCTGACAGTGAGTTAGGTTAGGTTAGGGTTAGGTTAGGTCACGCGGTTTTTACCGCTTCTATCGTGTCGTAATTAGTCTGTAGCTTAGATTTAGATTTTTGGTCTCAGCTTAAAGTGTGAGACACCGTGCTAAGGGGCATGGCCACGGGGACCGTAAACGTCGTGGCCGTAAACGGTTCCTGCAGGGTACCTGCCGACCCCCTGCAGTATACAGGCTTGTGCGGGAGTCCGGGCTCCTCCCGCACTGACCTCATAGTTTCCCGTTACCCCTTTTTGGGCAAGCCGGACGGCCCCTCTTTATGCGACCGCGCGTCCCCGGATTATCAGTCAAGGTATAATAGATATAAGGCGACGGATTGTCCCCGGACTTCTATTCATTTGTCTTGCCCTGTCTTGGGAAATGTCGCAAGATAGAGCAAACACTCCGGTATTTCGAATTGCCGGAACCCGGCGCAGCGTCACCCCGGACGAATCCCCCAGGCTTGGTAACCCTGGGGGACGAACTGCGTCAGTCTTAAAGTGCAAGGGGAACAAAAAAGATAAAAGAGATAAAGGTGAGGTAACGCCTGGCGGTAGTAATCCCGCCCATGACGCGGAGGCGGCAGGGGGAAGCACGTCGGAGATGCATACCTGCGAGGAATCTCTCAAGGATGACTACGATGGATGCGATGTCTCGGAGGGTGAGACACACATGGTCTCCCTCTGTGATCTAATGAATACCGGCGACATTGGCCACCTCCCGAGTCCGGCGCTCGATGGAGGTGCCGCGCTGCATAAGTACAACAGTGATAAAGGAGATGTTCCGCCTAAGCGTAAGAGGGACTCTCCTGATTCGGCGATGGACGGCGCCCCCGAGTCGGAGCCCAGGAATGACGCTTCTGGTACGCATCGTTTGTTGGAGGATGAGCCGATCGTCATCTCTGCGGAGTGCGCTGATTCGTCTGGTGGGGGCTCCCTCCGGAGGGACAGTCGTAGACAAAAGAAGAAGAAGGTCAAAAGGGGTAAGGCTCCTCCTCGCTTCCAATTAGAGACGCCCAGCCCGGTGGTTCCTCCGCTGATGAACGCCAAGACAAGGAAGGAGTATGCGTCACTGCCTGCTGCCGAAATTGCCAAGATGGCGGTCGCCTGGCTGGAGGAAATAGATGAGATGAGGATCAGGAGCAAGAGGGTCCAAGGCGGTATTTCGGGTGCCCTCAAGGCACGCATAGGACTTCTTAAGGACGTTATTGCCGTCTTCTCTGAGAGAGCGGAAGACAAAGGTGATGCCCCTTTCCTCAGACAGAGAAACCGTGATCTAACTGATCAATTGAGGTCGGTCAAAAGAAACGAAGCTGAACTGCAGAGGGACCTGGACGACTCTCGAAAACGAGCATCCGACCTATCGATTGAGCTCAATGCGCTGAGGGACCGTATTGGCTCCAAATCCACGTCACAGGAGCCCGAGCTGAGGCCTGAAAAGGTCAAGACTGTTCCTGCTAAAAATAACGCGAATGTTCGCGGAGGTTTGCGGCGTGCCCGGAGTACGTTCGGTCCTGCGACTTCGACCGATCCCGGTGAATCCTCGGATCCGGTGCGCGGCGCCGCCACAAGGAGCAAGTTAATAGAATGTGAAGACAAGATAACTAACGAGATGCGTATCCTATTGGAGTTGCAGAGGGACATCTCCGCGTTACGTGGTGGTGATCGTCGCGCGGTATCTTCGGTCCCGCGCGGGGCCCCTAGAATCGTGGAAAACATCCGAGTTCGTCCTCCCTTGAATACCGGCGGGGTGTCTGAGAACACGGACTCGGAATCGATGCCCTCGTCTGCCCGAGTTACTTTTGCATCGATCGTACGTCAGAAAAACAACAGGAAGAAGAAGAAAGTTTCTGGAGCATCCGGTGAATCCTCTCGCTCGGAGTGGCCGGAGGCACGGGAGGAACCTGAAACAGAAAAGAAGAACATTAATGAAGGGAGACTCAACGCGGGCGTGCGGCGCGGTGGAGGAGCTGCGCGACGTAGTCCGACGACTCCAAGGTCGGCGGCGGTCGCATTGAGATCCGCCTCGCCGGAGGTTCCCCACGCGGAACTACTTCGGACTGCGAAGCAAAAGATTTCCTTGGCGGATCTTGGCATTAACAAGCCCAAGATAAGAATTGCTGCTGGTGGAGGTTTTATAATCGAGATTTTTGGTGAGGAAAATTCTCGCAAGGCTGATCTCCTGGCGGACAAACTGCGGGAGGCTCTTGGAAGCGGAGCCGTGGTGTCGCGCCCAGTTGCGAAGGGTGAGCTACGAATCTCCGGCCTTGACGACACCGTCTCTCCGGACGAACTCCGGACCTCGTTGATGGACGCGGCCGGATGCCTGGATAGGGATATGAAAGTCAGCCCCTTTAGGTTGGCCCCCAACGGCCTTCGCTCTGCGTGGGTCCAGTGCCCTTTGTGGGCAGCGAACTTTCTGGCCAATGCGGGCACTGTGGTCGTGGGTTGGACGACGGCGCGAGTCGCCCTGTTGCGATCCCGCCCGGTCCAATGCTTCCGTTGCTGGGAATTCGGGCACGTGGTGGGCGGCTGTCAGTCGCAGAGCAGTAGAGGTACGCCCTGTTTTAACTGCGGACAGGATGGTCACTTCTCTAAGGACTGTTCCTTGCGACCGCACTGTGTTATATGTGCTGATAAGGGCATCGACCCCAATCATAGGATAGGATCAAACGCCTGCTCAAGGTCTTATTCCCGTGCTCGGAGGACGGAGCCTGTAAATAATAATGAAAATTAAATTTCTCCAAGTTAATCTGAACCACTGCCGGACGGCTCAAGATCTTATGAGCCAATTCGCCGTCGAAAATAAAATTGGTGTCTGCTATTTTTCGGAGCCCTGGAAAGTTCCGACGAACCACCCATATTGGTTCTTTAGCGCAGACGCGGACGCGTCTGCGACTATTGTTTTTGATCCGGACTTTGTGGGCCCGGGATGTTCCGTTTTCTATCGATCCGATAACATTGTTGGTGTCCTAACTAAAGGCCTGTACATAATTTCGGTATATATTTCACCGAATACCTCAACGGCTACCTTTCTCAATTTTGCGGATCGTCTTTGTGACGCAATTGAAATGTCCGCTGGTCCTGTCATTGTAAGCGGTGATTTTAATTCAAAATCGACTCTGTGGGGAGCTGCGGTGTCGAACCGGCGCGGCGAGATCCTTGCGAGGCTGGCGGACCAGTTTGACTTGGTTCTGTTGAATCAGGGAACCGCGCCGACGTGTGTTCGGCCACAGGGTTCCTCCGTGGTGGACCTTACCTGGGCCTCTTCCGCGTGCGCTGGTCGCGTCATGAACTGGCACGTGAACAAGAGTGTGGAAACCCTATCGGATCACAGGGCGATCCTTTTCTCGTTTGATTCAAGCAATGCGAGGACGGACATTGGCCTTGCACCCCGAGTGTATCCTCGTTGGTCGTTCGCTGGGTTGGATGAGGACCTTTTATGCTCTACGTTTGAATTTCTGAGCTCTGGTATATCGGAGGATGACTCCCCGGGGAATTTGGCTGCGGCGGTTTGTGGATACATGGCTAATGCCTGTGATGTGGCGGCACGCAAGTCCGGCCCTAGAACACTGAGGCGTGCGGTCTATTGGTGGAACGAGGAGATCGCGAATCTCAGACGGGTCTGCACGGTTGCCCGCAGGAAATTTTCCAGAGCAGGGCGTAATCACTCAGACGAGGAACGCCGGGTTTTGGAGTTGAGTTATCGGGATGCATAGAGAGCCCTAAAAAAGGCAATTCAACGCTCCAAAGTTAACTCATGGAAGGAGCTAATACGCAGTGTGGATGATGACCCATGGGGGCTCCCATATAAATTGGTTATGAGACGATTAAGACGAGCTTCTCCTGCTCTCTCGGAGACTCTAGAACCGGACGTATTGGGTGAATTGCTGGATTCTCTCTTTCCATCAGGAGAGACGCATTCTTCGACCGAGATATGGAGAAACGGATGCTCCTTCTCCGCTGATGATCGGGTTGATGTTATGGAGGTATTTAGAGCGATCCGTCGCAATAAGAAAAAAAGCAGTCCTGCTCCTGGTCCGGATGGGCTCGGTAGGATCGTTTGGAGTAGAGCTGCCGAAATTGCTGCGAATCGTCTAACCGTAGTATTCAACTCATGCCTTAGGTGCGGAGTATTTCCCGCCATTTGGAAATTGGCAAGGCTGGTACTGATACCCAAGGATTCGGTGGGCACACAGATAAAGGCTAGACCTATTTGTCTGTTAGATGAGGCAGGGAAAATATTTGAAGTCATAATTGTTGATAGACTTAAGGCACATATGGAAACATTGCCTGACGCCAAACTGTCTCCTTTTCAATTCGGTTTTAGAGAGGGGCGCTCCACGATCGATGCGCTCGATGCCGTTCTTGGCGTGGTCCGTCATGGCCTGGAGTCGAATGGGTTTGCAATAGCCGTCAGCCTTGATATACAGAACGCCTTTAACTCGCTCCCATGGGGAACCATTTGTTGGGCCCTTGAGCGGAAGGGGTTCCCGGACTATTTACGCCGTATTTTGGACGACTACCTCCACATAAGATATGTTGAATACCCAACTATCAGTGGCTCTATCGAGCCGAGACAGGTTACATGCGGGATTCCTCAGGGCTCAGTTCTGGGCCCAGTATTATGGAACATTTCCTTTAATTATATTCTAGAGGTCAGACCCAAGCCTGGCTGTACGGTGTTCTGTTACGACACTCTGATCGTGGGATAGGCTCGGTCGGTGGAATTGATGCGCTCGAGGATCAACGACCAGATATCGGGTGTCCTCGGGAGAATGGATGCGTTGGGCCTGGTTGTCGCGGCCCAGAAGACGATGGCCGTTTTGTTCAAGAGGAAAGGCCTTAAAGTCCCTCACGAGCCTGTTATCCGGGTGAAATCGGCATTGATCGGGATGTCTCCCGCAATTAAATAACTTGGCGTTACCCTGGACTCTCGACTTACATTTGTAGAACACTTCAATAAAGTCTGTTTAAAGGTTAATAATATCTCGCGGGCACTCCACGGCTTGATGCCGAATCTTAGAGGTCCTCGCGAAAACAAAAGAAGATTGTACGCCAACGTTTTAGCCTCGGTGGCTCCCTACGGTGCCCCTATATGGTGCGAAGCTTTGATTCTAGAGTTCTAGAGAAGGCATGAGGGTTTTTCAGGCCACGCAGAGATCCATAGCGATCCGTGTGTGTGCTGCTTATCGGACGGTTTCTTTCGATGCTGCCTCTCTAATATCCAGACAGGTTCCGTGGTGTCTACTGGCGTTGGAGCGAGAAAGAATCTACCGGAGACGATGCGACTTGCGCGAGGCGGGGCTATTGGACCAAAAAACCCTTAAAGAGATTCGCTGCGAAGAACGCGTCCTCACCATGCGACAGTGGCAAACCCTAACAGAAAGGGAGGGCCCTCCGGGCCTACGAACGAGGATGGCGATTGCCCCTGTGTGGTCTCAGTAGTTTGACAGGGGGTGGGGCATGTCCCACTTCTACATGACTCAAATTATGTCAGGCCATGGATGTTTTGGGTCTTTCTTGCATAAAATCGGCAAGATAGATGACCGTACGTGCCCACATTCTGGCGTCGCGGAGGACACGGCGGATCATACGCTCATCGACTGTTCAAGTTGGGACGAGGAACGTGCGAGCCTTCTACTGGCTTTGAAACTGGACATATTAACGCTTGGATCTGTGGTTACAGCCATTCTTAAGAATAAGGAGTGTTGGTCTGCGTTTTCACGTTTTTGCTCCTCGGTAATGTTGTCCAAGGAGAACGCCGAGAGAGAGAGAGCGCGCATGAGGAGAGATGACGTCGGTCTTAATGATGATAATAGTGTTTTGATTTCACCGAGATAAATGTCTTGAGCATTTGCGTGGGATCATCTATGTGCTTACAGACGTATACCGTGGTTTCCCAGTTAAGTGCGCCTACGCCGCCTTTTTTTTCGCGTTGCCTACTTTATTAGCCTAAGTTAGTCTAGTTTAGTTTAATTATTCTAGTTTAAAGATGCTTCTGCGTTTTGCGGCTTTTTCTTTCCTATGCGTCTTTGTATCGACTTGGTTTAACTTTTATTTATATCCGCTCTGGTCGCTAAATGTGTTGGACTGGGGCACATTGGTTTGCGCAGTGTATTTTAGTATCGGATGTTGTATCACACATCGTACGTTTATGACAATCTAATAAATAAATGACAATCTAAAAAATAGGCTGTGCTACGGGTCGGGATTCTGGGTACTCAATCCCGAGCTCGCTGAAGAAGTCTCACGCGCGTCGGGCTTTCTTTCTTTGATGATGGCAGGAAGGCAGCCCGATGTGCAATTTAACGTTTTTGAATCTTTAATGTGACGGGCGATCACGCGGTAATTTAAGCGTGACTGACACTCCGGGCCGGAATAGTTATGCCGGTTTCAAATAGACGTTCCCGCCGGCTGCGCTTGTGGCCTGCGCAGTCTGACCTCTGGCACATTTATTTAAATGCACCAGAATAGGACCCTCTCCGAGCGTGGGCGTCTTTGTTTCATACGAGGTTGTTGATTATAATAATTTGCACGCGCATCGCTCTAGTGTTGTTGCTGCCGGTTTTTATGTCGTGCCTCAGTGTTGTTATCCTTGTAGATCTCGTACGTATTAATTGTGGCAGCTATGTCTGTATACAATAGGTTGTCCGTGTCATGTACCGTCATGTAACGTACACACCTAAAAGGGGGGAGACACCAGCCGAATTGCATTAGATTATGGGGTTTTTCATGATTATTTGTTGCATTAATCGGCTTTGGTTGTTCTTTGTCGCGTGGACCATCCACACACCGCCGCCCTCTTTCCTCGGAAAAAGGGTGGCGGGTACTGCGTTAGCCGCCTTTGCTGTGGGTTAAGCCCAGCACTGTTGGGTGGGTCGCTCCTGACGAATGCCTTCATAGGCGGTACCGGGGGTGGCTCGTCTATAGTGCGGGGATGGTCCAAAGAGAGGGTTTTTTTAGCTGGTATTCCCGCTTCTTGGGTGAGTCCAGCATAACCATCCAGGATCCGGCCCTGATGGTACGCGTAAATGCGTTTTTTCCCTCTCTCGGAACAAAAAAAGGGTTAGGTTAGGTTAAATTGTACACGTTGCCTTAACGCTTGCAAGTTGTTGTGGCCATTTTAGGACTGCTTGAGTTCCAAAAGATATAAGAAGAAAAAGCCTGTAATAAGCTGACCGGTGTAAAAATTTTGATTGATTTCCAACAACGATGAATTCATCGAGTTGGTTTGCATACGTGAAATATAAGCATGACAATGGAAAAGAAATAGTGCCAATAAGCAAAATAAGTGATATTAATGACAAAGGGCAAAAGATTCCATTTCAGCCCAAAGATGTAAATGATTATGTGTACGGCAAGTTATACACAGTTCGAACCAGTTTACACAGCAAGAATGGCAAGGAATCGAAATATTATGCCGTTATTGGCAAACTGGGAGGTAAGAAGTTTTTTAAGCATATAAGGCCCGGTTGCACCAAAGTCGCTTAACTTTAACTTTAGCTTAATTCACTCTTCGTCTTTCTGTGTCCCTTAGAAAGAAACAAAGAGTAAATTAAGCTAAGGTTAAAATTAAGCGATGTTGGTGCAACCAGGTTTAAGAAATGTTGATTTAACAGAAAAATGTCCTAATTATGTTACAAAGTATTGTCACTTGTATGCTAATTCTAAGAGTACACATAGATTTCGAGAAGGATATATTTCAAATATACAGGGTGTCTGATGCAAAAGTAACCAACTTGAAAATAGTGGTAGATTGGGTTAAACTAAGGAGAAATGTCATGTGCCTCGGTGCAAAAGTATCAATAGTTATCGAGTAATTAATTTACACGTTTGAGCGAATGAGGATGCAGGAGAAGGTAGGCTGGACTCGGAAGGCATTTAAGAAAATCGATCGATGAGCGGGAGGTGGAGCGACGCGCGAGATACACCGTGGTGGGAAAAAACCTAGGCGCGGCGGGGAGCGCGGCAGCGAGCGCGAGCGACGGGCGACCCGAAATATAAACATGATGTTTATAGTCCGAGTCCGGCCTACCATATTCTGCATCCTTATTCGCTCAGACGTGTAAATTAATTACTCGATAACTATTGTTACTTTTGTACCGCGGCACATGATATTTCTCCTTAGTTTAACCCAATCTAACACTATTTTCAAGTTGGCTACTTTTGCATCAGACACCCTGTATACAATATTCTAGTATTATTTTCATAATATTAAGTGTAGCGTCTCTTGCGGAGAATCAGAGGTGTTCTCTCGTTATATTCTTTTGGTCGCCCTGAAAAGGGCGGTTTGTGTGTGTCGCCCTGAGAAGAGCGGTTGCGAGTCTTCTTCGGGGCTGTCTAGGCCTGCCGCGCTTTGCGTTCCTCTCGGCGAGGATGGTTGCGCCACGTCCACAGGCACGACCTGAAGTTCGGCCGAACCCTGCGGGGTCGTCTGAGTGGCCGCGTCGACGGTGGCAACACTGCAGTGGACTTGGGTTCCCTGCTCTCGGAACCGGGCTCAATCGGCAGTAGTCTCCACGGGAAGTAACTGTGTCCACGTATCGGTGGAGGTAGAGGCCTCCGGTGCAGTCGTGGATCCGATGGTGGTCCGGGATGCGACGGTGGCAGAGGCGGTACGCGCTCTGGGCTTCCTGGTGGTGAGACGTCTCGGGTTCGTCAACGGACTCGTGGCAGGATCCCTTCGTGGTGCCAAGGCCCTCAGGAGCTCTCTTGGGTAGAAGTCGAGGCCCGTGGAGCTCGCTCGAGGAATGGTCGAGGCCTTGCAGAAGCTCGCTCGAGTGAAGATACCGAGGCCCAAGGGGCTCGCTCGGCGATGATACCAAGGCCTAAGGAGGCTCGCTCGGCGATGATACCGAGGCCTAAGGAGGCTCGCTCGGCGATGATACCGAGGCCTAGGGAGGCTCGCTCGGCGATGATACCGAGGCCTAAGGAGGCTCGCTCGGCGATGATACCGAGGCCTAGGGAGGCTCGCTCGGCGATGATACCGAGGCCTAAGGAGGCTCGCTCGGTGAGAATCCAAGGCCCAAGGGGCTCGCTTGGAGGAAAATAATCGAGGCCCGTGGGGCAGTGATGCCAGAATGGTCGCGCTTTTTAGCGCATGCGCGTCGATTTGAGGCTCACTGAAGTACCTACTACGGACAAATAGGTGTATCGCTAGTCGCCCGTAAGAAATTTTCTTAAAGAAAATTCTAAATGATAATTTTTTACCGGCGGTAGACCGTTTTAACAACGACACATCTTTCTGTTTGCATATAACTGTACTATATTATACATATTAATATATAAAAAACATCTATCCTCCTGCGCGACGACGGCCGACGAGTTCAGACAGGTCTTGCGCCCATTATACCAATACTGACACGCCACTGGATATCTGCCATTTCTACTGCGCATGCGCTAAAAAGCGCGACCATTCTGGCATCACTGCCGTGGGGCTCACCCGATCAATACTACAGACGACTACTAACACTCGCGAACTATCTCCGACGAGAAACACTTATTGAAATTTCGTCGCCGCCGGAGGTCTTAATATACCCATCGCCACTGAATTCTGAGTGCGAGTATGCTGCCGGCGCTGTGTCCGCCTATCGGCGGCGCGCCGTACTACCGTCGCGCGCCGTGTCACCGGCGCTCGCAGGAGCGGCGCCGTGACGTGTGGTGCCCGCGCGCCTGATGTGGCGTGGGTCGCCACATTAAGTATAGTACATTGTAAGAATATATAAAATTCTTAAAAATTAATTTTTATGATTTGTTTAGCAAAATTATATAATCTAAACAGTAATATATTATATATTTTTTATAATAATGTATTTTATAATAATGTATTTTATAATACTTTATTTTATAATACAATACTTATTTAATGATTTCTTATAGTATTTAATGTATTGTAATAGTTATTTTTATATTTTGCCTTTCTTTTATTTTTTCTTTTTACAGTGCAATTTAGAATATTAAATTAAAACATTATGACACTGTGCATGCATTGCAATATTTAATACTCTGCAACAAACATAATTTTAATACAATTTTGAATCGTGTGCAAATAACAGTATTGGCAACTTTTTTCGGTAAATGTTCACTTTAGGGGAGTCAGCTCCGATGACCTTGACCTTGACATATGTTGTCAAGGTCATCGCCCTGAGTAACCTTC